AAGAGGGTTGGAATTTGAATTGAATACCTGTATGTTAAAGTTATTTTTACTTATTAGAGGAATTGAATGCCAAGGTTATTTTTGTAGTTAAGGCAAGCAAGCAATTCATTTCCTCAGTGCTCTACGTATACGCTCTTAACAAGGCTGTTACTGTACTGTGTAATCAAAATTTTAAAGCACACATTTTGTAATTTGAGTGCATTAACGACTGACGTGTGTTCTTGTTTACAAGATTTGGACAGATAATGGAATATTCAGGAATTTCATCTGGCCTAGATGCTCATCAGAGTTTTCTTTAACTCTATAAGAGATTTCCTGTGTAGATTTAACAAGATTGCTGTTTGATGTCAGAGACCTTTAATCAACACCCAGTTTGGCATTTTGAAGTTTTCTTAGTTCCTGTGAATATACTAGTACGAGGACCTATAAGGTGTGGATTATTTTAAGTATGAGCACATTAAACCTCAGGTGTGGGGATAGAGGTAGATAAGGTTACAAAGCACGCATTCATCAGATTAGTGAAATATTGCTCTTCCTGTAGTTCGGAACACAGGGACCCAGGGATACTGTCCATTACACTATCTAAGATGAAATGAGAAAAACTTTTCCCTTATTTTATGACTTAGTTCCTTAGAGTCAAGATTCAATGTGCCATCCATTGCAGAATTTATATCTTAAGAGGGAGCAGGACTTAAAGTGTCTTTCTCTGTTTTAGGAGCAAGTCAGGTCACAGTTAGGTTCTGTCTTTTCCAATGAGATGAAATATCTACCAACTGAGAAGTATTAAAGAAGCTATGGTATAAGTGCATATTTAAGGACCAATTAAGTAGGTAAGTGTTACCATGGAAATCTCCTCCAGGTGCTTGTTTCTTTTGCAGCTGATCATGTCGAAATGGATGTGCACATCAGCTGACAGCAAAATATCAATGTATTTAACTATTTTGCACTGTGATTTTATTATTCTTTTGGAGTGAAAAAATGATAGAGCTCTCTCTCAATGTGATACATACCCAGTATAAGGAATGTCCCACTGATAAAAGCTTGAAACCAGGGTTATTCTTGTATTAAACAAACATTTAAATTTGACATAGAATAAGATAAATGAACGTTTGTTGGTTGTTTAAGTGCAATGTTTAATTCAAATGCCTGGAGAAGTGTTTCATGTTATAAATATGTGTACTTAAGTGCTTTGAGGAATGGACCTTGTTAAAGCTGGGAGAAGAGCCTGAGGAAAGTTCATATTCATCTGCAAATTAGAAAATTCTTTTTTAATGTCATTGGAAGTTTTTTAAATGCATACATTATGTTTTCCATTGCTCTGTGCGGTTATTTAACTTACATTATACTAGAGTTGTTGATGTTGTTGATATTTGATCTCGGAGGAATTTGATATACACATATAAGAGTCTCTTTTACATTATATTGAAAAATTGGGAAGTATGGCATTTAAAATAGATATATTGATTAATTTTTTTTCAGATATCATCATGTGAGAAAGAAATCGCAGGCACACAGAGTAACTATTTCCACCCAGTCCACCTTTTACCAAGAAAGGAAAAAAAGTACAGCATGAATCAAGGAGTAAGGAAAACTCTATGACCGGTTTCCATCTTGATCAAACAAAGATGTTCAAAATGAAGTTTTTCATCAGAATTGGAACTGGTATAGTGTTTGTGACTCTGATTTTGATATTTTACCTGTATTTTGGTAGAGAGGAAAGACTTCAACCACCAGAGATGCAAAAGAACCCAGATCTAAAACCTCCGTCCAAGACGGTCACCAAAACTCGTAAAACTGCCCTTTGGCCCCACAGTATAAGAAATTTGCATGTTATAAAAAGTCAAGAAGAGTGCACTTTTGCTGAGAAAAAACCTGCCAGAACAGACTTTACTTCAATTGGAATTTATGAAGACATTAAAAGTTTCACATATGTCTTTGAAGATCAAGATGTTATGTCCAAAATCAAAGAAAAATTCCCAGATTCATATACTGAACCCTTGAAGGTAATTTTCATACCACATTCACACAATGACCCAGGATGGCTGGACACAATAGAAGGATACTTTTCACACAACACCCGAAAAATTCTGAATTATATGGTAGTGAAGCTTAAAGAATATCCGGAATTCAGATTTGTTTGGTCAGAAACGGTGTTTCTTGCAATGTGGTGGAGTGAAATTGGGGAAGGCATGAAAGAAGATGTCAGAGATTTAATCAAAGAAGGGCGTCTTGAAATTTTGAATGGTGGTTGGGTGGTGCCTGATGAAGCTACAACAACCTACTTTGCCTATGTTGACCAACTGATAGAAGGACATCAGTGGTTGGAACAGAACATTGGCGTGAAGCCAAACAATACCTGGGCCATTGATCCGTTTGGGTACTCAGCCACCATGCCTTATATTCATAAAAATACTGGTTTTCAAAACATGGCAATCATGAGGATTAATGCCAATGTGAAATCCTACCTGAGAGATAAGCAAGGATTAGAGTTTCAGTGGAGACAACAGTGGGATGCAAATGGGGAACATGATATTTTCACTCATGTTTTTCCTTATCAGCTCTACAGCATCAAACATTCGTGTGGACCAAATGTGTACACTTGCCTCATATTTGACTTCAGGAACATACCTGGAGAATTCAGCGAAGTCAAGGTTAATCCTCTGACGGATGAAACCATAGAAGAGAAAGCGAAACTTGCAGTTAGCCAGTATAGAATGAAATCCCAACATTATCGCCATAATGTCATCTTTGTGCCAATAGGGGATGATTTCAGATACAACCATCTTGTGGAATGGGACCAGCAATATCAAAATTATAAAAAATTGATTGATTTTGTGAATTCAAAAGAAAACTGGAATGTCAAGATGCAATTTGGAACCCTTAATGATTACTTTGAAGCCTTGAGGAATTCAAAGAACTCAGAAATTCAGATACCAGAAACTTTTCCTTCCTTCTCTGGTGACTTCTATAGCTACACTGACAGAAATAATGAATACTGGACTGGTTACTTTACGAGCAGACCCTATGACAAAGTTTTATCAAGAAAACTGGAATCGTCTTTGAGGGCTGCTGAAATTTTGAACACCCTAGCAGTAATGTACGCAGCACAGAATACTGTGCAGTTTGATACGCTAAATGACAATCTCAGATATCTCGTCAATGCTCGTCAGTTGCTGGGCCTCTTTCAACACCATGATGCTATCACGGGGACAGAAAGAGCAGCTGTTGTGGTGGATTATGAATTCAGGTTGTCACAGGCTTTGTCTGACACAGAAGTCGCCATGTTGAACTCTGCTTTATTCCTTTTGAGCCAAGGGGATGTTGGAATTCACAGCAAACTGCCTCTGAGTTTTGCAGAGTTTAGGGATTTCACATCAGAATTGCATTTAGAAACAACTATTCCCAACCCACTGGATAAACTATCCATATTGCCAGTTTCTGAAAGTAAATCTCAAGTAGTTGTCTACAATTCTCTCCCACAAAGACGACAAGAAGTTTTAAGACTTGTTGTTAACCAAAGACATGTCATAGTGAAAAATTCAAAGGGAGTAACAATTCCCAGTCAGATTAACCCACATTGGATTAATCTGTCCGTCTACAGCAATGACAGATTTGAATTAGTCTTTGTTGTGGACATCCAGCCCTTAGGCATGGAAATATATACAGTAGCTAGTCAGGAAGAAGAGGGGAAGTATTTGACCAACGCAGTTGTGAAACTTTATAATTTCAAAGAGAGAAACAACTGGAAATCTAATAAGGATGGGGTTTTTGATGTAGAGTATATGGATAGAGATGTTAGTAAGAATATTACTTTTGAAAATGACCGTATTTGTGCAAACTTTAAAGCAGCAACTGGAATGCTTCAAGGTATCACGCTGAATGCGGTTGCTACAGAATTTGTGATCGATGTAGGATTTTTAGCATATACATCACAAGGAAGTGGTGCATATATATTTCTTCCAGCTTGGAAAAATGCCGAGCCATTGTTTAAAGGGACAGTGCCAGTTCGGGTCATTAGAGGACCCATTGTTTCTGAAATACATGTTGTGCATGATGTAGTTATACATGTTGTTAGAGTATACCATGACCAAATTTTAGCCAGCAGAGGTTTAGAAATAGTGAACAAAGTAGATATCAAACGTCTAGATGATAGAGAAATCATTATGCGATTTTCTACTGAAATCCAGAATAATGAAAAAATTGTCTATTCAGATTTGAATGGATTCCAGATGATTCAGCGAAAGTTCTTCCAGAAGTTACCTGCCGGTGCTAACTATTACCCAATGACTAGCATTGCTTATATTGAAGATGACCAGTATAGACTCTCCCTCCTCTCAGGGCAGTCTCAAGGGGTTGCTGCTAGTCAATATGCTGGCCGCCTGGAAGTCATGCTGGACAGGAAACTTCACTATGATGATGCCAGGGGCATGGGCGAAGGCTTAAATGATAATAAACCTACTCAAAGTAGGTTCTTTCTCCTTTTAGAAACTGCTGGAGATATTGCCAAGCGCAGTCAGCAGAATAGCTTGTCATATCCATCTTTGATTAGTCATTCCATTTCAGAGGTCCTGAATAACAGGTTGTATATGTTTGTAGTCAATAACAATGAGGCAGCTAACATTGCAGTTCATCAGTTTGTTCCTCTGTCCAAGTCATTTCCATGTGATGTTTCTCTTGTGAACCTACGTAGCTTGGTCACTGTCGAGCGGAATTTCAATGGCACTGCTGTCTTACTTAAAAGAAAAGGGTTCGAATGCAGATACCCAGAAGATGGGCTAAGTTGTACAACTTCTAGTGGACAGATTTCTCTTAAAAAGATATTTAAATTTTGGAAGCCTGTCGAGTTTAGAGAAGTGACTCTATCATACATGCATTCTAAGTCTGAGCTAAGTTATCAGCAGGACATCCATATAGAGCCAATGGAACTGAAGGCTTATTTTGTAAAGCATCAGTGAGGTATTAGCAGAGGCCAGTTTCACAAATAAATTTAAGTCTGAAAATTAGCCTAGTCTTTTACACCCCGTTTCCATAGATTTTTAGATCGATCTATCCCTGTGGGGAGTCTCACTAGATTACTGTCAGCTTGGCCGGCTTAAGCGTCTGTCCCGCCTGCTAAAAGCTGTAAGGGGGTAATTAACTATGGTGCCCGCTCGGCTGACTGCAGTTTAGCGTGAACCCCCAGGGAGTTAGGCCGATCTAAATCTTAATCTCTGGATCGATCTAAATCTCTGGGAAAGCACTCTTAGACCTTAATTTTGGCTTACTGCAATTCAAGACAAATCCATATTAGATCACTTCAATATAGTCTGAAACTGTGTTTCTTCTTCAAAAAAAGGTGCAATTTTTGATTCAGTTTTACTACTTCTACCACTACTACTACCACCGCCACCACTACTACTACTAAATCATCATGGATCAAAGTAAACTAAAATTTTTGTCTAAAAGCTATAACCAATTTTTGGGCTGAAGTTCTTTTATGAAACAGGCCCCAGTAGTACAAAATGGACACAAATTTATTCCTGCATTGTACACACCATTCTGTTTTAATCAGACTTGAATTGAAATTCCTATGGTTATATTTATTGTTGTATATATTATGTTTTAGAGTATTATAGAACCTATAGAGAAACAGTTATAGATAGAATGACTTGGTGTTTGTAAGCAGCTTGTCATACTAGTTTATTTTTATAGATTAAGGCAGCATTTAATTAAATATTGATGGCATAATAATTTGTCACAAGTTATTCTCCATGTGCCAAAACAGAGAGAAGTGTGCAATAGGATTTGAAAGCTAGCATCATTTATTTGACAACTGAAGATGATCCATTTCTTTATAAGAATGATGCATAGTATTTCTTTATTCAGCACAGTATACCTCATTTCATTCTGACCTGTATATATTTTAGTGATATTTTTGTGATATTGGTGCTGTAAAATTAATATGTCCAACCCATGCACTTTAGGCTTAGGTAGACATATATGTATGGAATATGATTAAAAATGTAATTCCATTATGGAAAAGGAAGAAAAAGTACATCTTTGTAATTTGTCACATGGACCCATGTAATAAGGCTGAAATTGCAGGCAGTATGTACCCTTGTTCAGCACATCAAATAATTTACTGCACTATGAAGAATTCCAAAAATTGCAATTCTGTTACAGCAAGGAAGTATTTTAACAAACTTCTGATATTGCTTTATGCCGGCCCAAATGTTTGCTTTGATGTTTAATGTAAAAGTGACGGCGCGTTCATTTGCCAGATTGGTTGAGGAGTAAAAAAAATCTTACAGCATTTAAATATTTTAATTTTGTATTATGGGCAAAGTTATAAACAGCACACCATAGTAGGCTGTAGAAGTAAATTTTGTGACTTGTTACATTAAGAGATAGCTATATGAATTGTATATACAATGCATTTATGTAGTTTTAATTGAATTTTAATAAATAATCAGCCCAGTACTTCTTTATTCTTGTTTCATCATTGACACACACGCACACACACATGCACGCACGCACTCTGTATGTGTCTGTATGTATTATGATCACTGTCCAGTCCTATAATTGGGTAGCTTTGTTTGATTAAAAAAAAATTTCAGCATGTTGGGATTATTCTTGTAGCGGTTTTTGATTTGCTTTGCATGATATTTGACTATGTTCACTCCATAAGTGTCAAACCATTTTTTTTTTGTTTTGTTTCACTTAAATTGTTTAGAGTTGCTTTGTACTTTAGTAAGGCAAATTCCTTCTGAATATCAGCATGATTGAATGATTTTTGTGTTTTTTTTAGTTTTTATTGTGTATTTTGGCAAAGTTCACCTCATAAATGCCAAACTATTTTTTTTATTTACTTTAAATGTACTGAGTGACTATGTATGTTATTGAGGTGGCTTCCTTTCGAAAATCATCATGATCAGAGTATTTTTTGCATATGTTAATGAAACACAATTTCCACTATTACAGAAAGAAAATATTATTCCCAACACATTATTTACAAGAGTAACACTGAAGATCAGTTCTGCAGATATACAATAATTAAAGACAGCTTTTCTTTGGGTAACACGTAAGTATCTTATTGAACTTTTAGTCACACTTTTCTTCGTTAAAAGTTTGATTTTTTTTTCCAAAAAGAAAATTTTTTATCTTTCTCACTTGTCTTCAAACAAATGTACTGTTTTTTCCTTTAGTAGAAAGCCTGAAACTGAATTCCAATCGGTAGTGGTCTTAATGCCACTTGAACAGTTAAACAAGTAAAATACAACTAGAACTGCTTCTGTGAAAATGTTTATGAATTCCTTAGAAACCAACAGTCTAATCATCCTCCTCTTCCTCTTCCTCTGCTTCTTCCATTTCCTCGGCTGCCTCCTGGGCCTCCATCTGAGCCTGGCGGAGGGCCTCCTCTTCCTGTGGAGATGGATCTTCCCCCTCTGTGATCTCTGGACCACTTGAGTACTCCTCCATAGGGGCAGGGATGGGTGGGGGACTGTAATTGTCTGCTGCATACTTGTGGCCCCAGCCAACGTAAACATTTTCAAATTTCCTGTAAAAAATAAGATGTCCAGTTAATTGATATGTGTGTGCGTTTTTAAAGGACTTGAAAATAGGATGCATACAATGGGGAGGGGTAACTTAAATATAAAAATATTAGGTTATGTCAATTAAGTCTCTCATAATGATAACTGTATGACTCCACATATATGACTTCCAATAAACAGTAAATATATAACAGAAAATAATGAACACAGTTAAGTAACGATTGTGAACTACTTACTTGTTCACAGCAAAAGCAAAAGCTCCAGGCCACAAGTTTGACCTCATCAGTGAGATGGCATATTGTGGGACAAGATTGCTGGACAGCTTGGGGGTCCATGGGGGCATGCCTTCAACCTCCACATCCTCAGACAGAGGGGTAAGAAGGGGAGGACCTACTTCAGGCTCAGGTTCATCTGGTTCCTCTCGCTCTTCTTCTTCTTCTTCATCCTCAAAGTCATCCTCCTGCTTTTGCACAGTGTTGAACCATACGCAACGTCCCTATAGGATGATATATTATATTTGATTATCATAATTATTTTTTGAATATTGTTTTTTATTTAAATTTGTTAATGTCTTGCTTTATCAAAAAATTCTGTAAATGAACATGTGAAGATAAAATGGGTCATCGAAAGTTAAAAAAGCTCACCTGTGGCAAAATGTGCATGACATGATGGACCCAGTTCTGGAGACCAGGATCTGCCAATTCTCTTACTGGGATCCCCTCATACTCCACGTTTTCAACAAAGTTTTCACGTGCTGTAAAGAAAAATGAGAGGCAAATGTACAAAAATTGTAAATAATCAAAAATTAATTTAGACAACAAAAATTCATTCCAGCATAATGACTTGAGCTGATGTGCAGCATTTTCTCAATTTGGATCCATTATATAAAATTGTTGGAGTTCTCCTCCTAAAAGCTCATATAAAATATTTTTCACATCTATACATATCACAAAGCAATGATTTACCTGCTCCTTCTTCCTCTTCCTCCTCTTCTTCCTCATCAAACTGATAAAATCCAAGGGGTGAAATGTGCGTGCCGGCACTAATGCGAGAAATCTGGGCTCTCAAGTAATTAGCTTCATTTCCTGGGAATGGAGGATAGCTCACCACCTGCAACACAATTATATTGCTTATAGATATTTCTAAAACTTAAAAAGAATACAGAAGACCACTCTGCAAAAATAATAAAATCAAATTGTAGACTGTTTGGTATCTAAACTTTCATATGCAATAATAATACAACAATGTGAAGTATTTTTTGGCTTAAGTATTTTCATTAACATTATCTTGGTTCAACAAATTTTCAGCACCAGAAAAATCAAATTAGTAACTTCAATCATAGTTTTTTAACTAAAGCATTCAACTCACAGGTGCATCCAGGCGTCCAGTGAGGAATTTCTTTATTTTTCTGGCACATGAAACCTGTGCTGGTGTAATTGGTGGAAGTTTGCTCCATGACTTTCCAGCTGAAAATATTCAAAATAATCAGATGATTAGCATCAACTAGAAAAATCATTACAGAACTTAACTGCTATTATATGTAAAAAAGTAACATAGATACATAAATATTTGTGTAGTATATCATAAATTACTTACGTTCATTGCAAACAAAATATGTCTTCTTGTTTGTTCCAGATCTATTGGCTTCCTTTGGGACAACTGGGGGTGGTTTCCAGTCTGGCTTTGGAATATCATCTTCTGCTCCTTCACCTACAATGTGTGAAATAGAAGTTTGGGGTTTTAATTGGTGGTAAAATTGACAATTTCATCAGTCTTTAAAATTTCTTCAAACATCTTTCAAAGCAGAGGTGACCTTGTGTAACATAGAGAAAAGCAATAGCAAAGTAAGTCAGATGGCCCGGGCCCATTTCCAAATCTTGTCTCAAGAATATACATGACAATTTGTTTGACAATTTCCTAACAGAGAGCATTTGTTTAAAAAAAAGAGAACTAAAACAGAAAAGAAAGAAAAACAATGTACACAATCAAACTGCAGCTAAAATACTGTATTTGTCTTCATTAAAACAAAATCATTTCAAATTTGTGAACATATTCGTTTCCAATGTTAACAACAGAAATAATTTGCTCATCTTCACAACATGCTGCAAAATAAAATAACATGCAAAGCATGCATCCAAAGTTTACACACTGAAATAAAAATGTTTTTGATAAAGGAAGGGCAAATTATTTGTGCCACTCAAACAGCAGGCTGGATACCAAGCTGACCTGCAACCGTAGGCTCTCCATGGTTTTCTGGCGGGTTGATGACAACAGGGGGAAACATGTTTTTTCCCTTTTGCTTTTCTACATTATATAAGATTTAAAAGTTAAAACATATATGACCAATCAAAACATTTGATTACTTTGATACAATATCTTATGTTAGATAAAATAAACTGGTAGTCATAGATTTATTTTGTAGGTGTGTATGAGTGTGTTGTGTGTGTGTAAAAATGTAAAGTGAATTACCTTCTTCCTCTCCTTCGCCTTCTTCCTTCTCATTTGCATCTTCTTCTTGTGCTTCTTCTTCCTCCTGCTCTTCCTCCTCTTCCTCTCCACCTTCTCTGTATTCAACTTCAGCAACAATATAATTTTGTTCTGTTCCATATATTTTCCCCCAGAATCTTGCATGTTGTAAAGGATGGTGATCTACTAAGTCTTTTAATGCAAGCCATATCCTATATGTTTCTTCCCTGCCTAATCCAATTCCACCTTGTTCAAAGTAAAATGCAAGTTCCATCAAATTAGGAAGGGGCGTGTCATTTTCCTCTTCTTGTTGGCCCTCTTCATCTTCGCCACCCTGTTTCTGCAAGATGGGAAAAATCAAAAACTAAGTCAAAAGCATCATTAAAAAATTTATCACATAACTTTTAAAGAACTTTAAGCAACAAAAACAGCAAATGAATATAAATTTTAAAAATCATTTTACTATGAAAGTTTACTCGAAATAATTAATGTCTTACCTTAAAGAGCTTTTCTTGCACTTTAGCTAAAGTTACTTCAGTGGATTGGTCTATTTTATCTTGCACTGTGTCCACATCTGATGTGAATTTTGACCTCTTGGTTTCTTTGCTGATGTCTTCAAAGATGTCTACAACATTATCTGGTCTTTGATCTAAAACTTTTGTGAGTACACTGCTGATATGGTCATATCTAAAAACAATCAAAATGTACAGATTTAGTATGAGATATGATATCCAAATTATGCAATTACATTGTAGATTTTTCATGAAGAGACAAACCACTTAAATGCTGAATTTTATGTAAAAATATTATTTCATTTTTTTTTTAAATTAAGTAGGGTCATAAGTATAGACATTTATTCTCGGTTGAGCATTACTTATCGATTGTGATCAATATTTCCTAATTCCTATCAAGCAATGACTGTCAACAAACGTACCCCAGTAATTAGAATACATTTTTACGTAGATTAAAAATCTTATCCCATTCAATATACCAAGCAAAAACCTTGCCTTATACTTACAAGTTATACCCTGTGCTTGTACTACATGTCAGAAGATAGGATTTAGCGTTGATAAATTCTTGCTCTTTTGGATTCAAGTTTAGCTCAGGGTTTGCTGGGACGGACTCCGTCATTTTGAATGAATCCTCCGATTTATCACAGATATTCTTTGAATTTCTCTTATCTGGTAGATTGCCTTGAACCTCTCTGTCACCAATGTGCGGTAAAGATCGTTAAAAACAAATCAAACACGTCGAATAATGGAAAAATACGAGCAACTTTTAAATTCACATCTCACTCGTAACTCAGATGCTAGTTGCTATGATAAACATGGGTATCGACGGCCTTACGTCACTAAACAATGTGTGCGCAGAAAATGATGACGTAGCACTCAAGCACACTCGGTACGTCTTTCTGTGGGTTTGTTTATATTTCTTTTCATGAATCATTGTCTGATTAGCTGTGCTTTGTAAGGCTGCATTGCACTTTCTGATAAGGGCGTATATTCTTAAGTAAAGTGAGGTTTGAATTCGTTTAAAACCATGGTTTTGACAGGATAACAGTGAAATTTGAGATTTGCTTGTGACACTGCACAACTGCACATACAGTTCCCTGAAGTAGAGAGCCTGTGACTCCTGCTACCCCAGGTTAATGTTTGTCTCCTCTTCTATATTATTAGTTGAAATGCTTTCCAAGAAGTCTGCCAAAAATGTAAACGAGGGCGTGGTTGGAAAATATGTGAAGAGAGACACACCTCCAATATTGAGAAGTAAGTTATTTGATAAGTTTAGATTGTTAGAACTTTTTAACATTGCACTTGAAATTGCTGATATTGTATATATGATTTTATTCACATGATAGTTATCCAATATTGTATTTCTAAAAGTAAGCATCACAAGGAAATCTTTGGACTGTGTATGATAAAATAACCATACATTTACAGGTACCATTACGTGTAGTTAAATAAATGTTTATAGGCATTAATACATGTAATACTGTAGTAACACTGACACTGCACATAATTTTAAATTACGCACAGGTATTTAAATAAAACAGAACTTTTATTGTGGCAAATGACTACTGTGCTATGTAAAAAGTGTTTCTGAATGGAGAGTGTCATTATTTGCACCTGTAGATCTTTACCATTAAATACAACATTTTTATCACAAGTGCAATTTATCTTTGTTTAGCACCAATTGTCAGTTCTTTGAAAATTTTTATAAAAGTCAATAACTTTTGGTATTACTATCAAGGGCCATTTAGATAACTACATGTGCATTTTAAACAAAATATACACATGTAAAAGTACTAGGATCAAGGATGCAAAGAAATAAAGACATTTGAGAGTAAAGAAATGCTTTCATTTTTATCTGCAAATGAAAATAATTAATGTTGAATTTATTTTTCATCTGTATGAAATTTAATCATTAATCAGTTATTTGCCATTGATTTTGTGCAGACTATCACACACCAGTGAGGCAAGGGACCAGTTTCCAGAAAAGAAGCAAGCAATCACAATCTTCATATATTCCACAACCACACATAGTGACTGCTCCCCCTCCAGTTAGGCCACCTCCAACTTCCAGCCATGTTTATTCTCCACATGCTGTCGCAGCATATCACCAAGCACGGCACCATTATGTGCCTTCAGCGCTCCCAAGGACTACATCTACAGGAGAACAGGGCATAAGCCATTCATTCCAGAACTTGCAGATTTCAAGTGTTCAAACACAAGGGCAGAATGTACTGGCTTCAAGTCAGCCTAACATAGCTAATATTGCAAGGACTCCTAGTTTTGGTGCTAAGGATGGACAGCCCTCTTTGAATAGGGCACACAGTTTTGGATCCCACGATGTGACAGGTGCTCCCTCCAGATCTCAAGGGTATAATAGTGCTGTGGAGCAGCAATTAGGATCGCATGCCCCTGGAATTGTGCAACATAAAGATGATATAGGTAATTACAAACTTAAGGGCTTTGGCTATTATATGTATGCATTGTACAGGTCAATTTGAACTTCAGCACATGAAAATGAAAATTGAAGAAACAATAATAATAATTTAAAAAAACTAAAAAGGTAGTAGTAGTAGTAGTAGCAGTTGCAGTAGCAAATGCTGGAGAAATTTTCCAATTGCCAATTTAGGCAGCAACAACAAGAGTGCATTAATAATTTTTATGCTATTACAGACCATTCAGATATAAAACAGCATTACCAGCATCCCTCTGCACCAGAACTAATCAGCTTACAAAGTAATGATCAGTATCAGCAAATGTTTGATGAGAACTATCAGATCCAACAATATCACAGGCAAATTAGGAACCAGTACATGCAACAGAGTGAGCAAAAGCATATGGGACCAGTGCAAACAAATTTGACCAACTTTAGACAAGACAGCCGGCCAAGTGTCAGCAGTGCAAATGCTGCTGCTGCCTCAGTGGCTGCTTCAAGTTAGTATTTTGGTCATATTCAGAACCATTTGTCCAAATTTTATTAGAGAAAAAAAAAGAATGCCTAGTTCAATTAACCCCATAATAATCCTTGAGTAAAAGGATGAAAACTGAGATGCTTGGTCACTGATGTTTTTCAAGAAAGTGTTTTATTTATTCATGGTTCACTGTTGAAGTATATTTCATAAGTTCATGATGAAATGGATAAAGTAAGAAATTCCTTATGGTTGAACTCAAAGTATAAGTATGGTTACGTATAGTTGTGCAGTTTGTTCAGATATATTTCTTGACCACTGTCACTAATTCAGTTCCAGGGATGGTACTTGATATGTATACTACCTTGTCTCACCATTGATTCTACATTTGAAGAAGGGGTTAAAAATATCAATAGTTAAGTACACATGCTCTAAAATACTGTTATTCTTCATATGTAAGGTAATCACAGTGTGCTCCAGGCAGGTAGTGAGCCTGCTTTACCCCAGGGTTGGTCTGTAGACTGGACCATGAGAGGGAGAAAGTACTATATAGACCACAACACACAGACCACCCACTGGAGTCATCCCCTGGAGAAAGAAAGCTTGCCAACTGACTGGGAGAGGATAGAATCACAGGAACATGGGGTGTACTATGTGAAGTGAGTTACTGGCATGATGCTTGGTGTCAGTTAGCTGGTTTTTCTTCCTGTGTTTATTCATTATTGCCATTTTCTTTTCCACATCTGAATTTGCTAGGTCTTTATGTGTTAACCCTATTGATCATACCTTTAATCATTTGAATGGTTGGTTAATGAGACAGTAATGTGACATTTCTTATTGTTTTATACACATACAGCTTATTTTGTCAATCTTCAAAGCACCTAAAAAGAATACAGACGAATGTTTTTAATCTAGTGACATTCCTATTGAGATAGAGCTCTAAAGATAAACTTAGCATTTATTTAGTGTAATTTTTTCCAGTCATACAACAAAGACGGCACAGTACTGGCATCCTGGTGCTCCCCCCTTGCCCCAATACAGCAGAGCTCCTCCTTATGTAAACCCCAATGCTCAATTGTCTCAGCAAGGAGCAGAACCCAGGCCACAGAGCAATGTTCTTGTGCCAGCCAATCCATACAACACCATGGGTAAGTTGGATAAAAAGTCAAAGGAAATATAGTATTCAATAGCACATATATATGTACACATACATAAGTACATGTATACATACGTATATATCTTAGAACCAACTCTGTTCTGAATCGAGGAATCAATGTAAATATGACTTTGAATAGTTTTGTTGACAAGTGAAAATTGTGTCGTGTGCAAATAGATTATAATTGATCAGTATCATTCGTTTGAAACGTATATGTTAATTTGATAGCTCACCTTAAAATAATTTGTGCTTTCTTTAATTGTTCAGAAATACCAGAATGGTTGTATGTATATTCAAAAGCACCATCAGAGCATGACCATAAGCTAAAGGTATGTTTTCTTTATTTTGAATGTGTATGTAGCTGGCAGAATTAAAATTGCAATTTCAATCTCACTTACTAAATTTAAAATTTCAATCTTTTTCATGGACATTTAAATGATCACTTACATAGGTTTATATTATATAATCATTTCAACTCTGGTTTCAGTGGGAATTGTTTCGCCTGCCAGAGCTAGAAGCATATGATGCCATTCTCAATAGACTTTTCAAACAGGAGTTGGAAGAAATTGTCATGGGATATGAAGAATACAGGGGAGCATTACTAAAGGAAAGAAACAAAAAGACAATGGCAGAACATCTTCAGCAACAGCATCAGTTACAGTCACAGCAAAACCAACACTTGCAGCAACAACAATATACACAACAGCAACACCACACACAACAGCAACAACAGGCCATACAGCTACAACAACAACATCAGCCGCAACAACAACAGCAAGTGCAACAGGGCCTTCAACAAATACACCAACAGCAGCAACAGAAACCCAAAGATCCCACATCACAAACACATGCAGGAGTTGTGGGACAAAATATAGAAACTAAGGTGTGAGGATGTAATGAGCTATTGGATTATATTTACAGATGAAAAAAATACAGACAAAAACTTCCGATGGTTAATCAGTTGATCTAGACATGCTGTCAATATTTCATGTTGAATTATGGGATGAAGATTTCTTAGTTTTTTAAAAAGTATAGTTATACATCAATGTGAGTAATACAGGAGTGCTTGGTAATTGATGTATGCAGTAAGCAGGCATGAAACACTATAAATACTGTGATTTTTCATGTTCCCATATTCTTACTTTGAAATATCAGATTATACTAAAAAATTCAACCGTCAATTTAGCATTCAACCTTTGAGAAATTTTTTTGTTGTGGAGAAGAACTTTTTATCAGCAGTTTTTAAATGTAGGATTCCCTCCATTCATAAGTTGTGTTGATATAAGTATTTAATCTAGAGGCTTTTTATAGGTAAATTATAAATTGTAGACTGTTTACAGTCACAAGCATTCCAAAGCATGGGATATAACAGATTTGGTTGTAGAATGATGAGGTTGTGGATCATTTTGGAAACATATCGCTGAACAAATTGTGTTGCATAATATCTTGATGTATTGGGGCTTTAGAGAAAGTTCCTTTCCTTGAAGTTTATGAGTAGTGAAAGATAAAATTTGTATTGAAATGACTAAATTCTTTGCTCTACACCTGTAAGTTGAAAATCAATTTCAGTTTTGCACAAGAGTGACAAAATTATTTGGTGAAATGCATCTAAATGGAGAAATGGGAGTTGCCGTCATAAAACGGGCATAGGAATGAGGCCAAATTTGTGTTGCTTGATGTGATACTTAGGTCAAAGTAATTTAAGCAATTGTTGCACAGTGCTTCATTAGTAGGGAAGAGGGAGAACAGGTCTTTGTTTTTATAAGATCATATTAAGTAATTTTGCACTTTTTTTGAATTTTTTAAAATTTAATAGAACTGTTGAATTTATTACATAAAATTAGATATCCAGTAAAGATTGTGAATGAATCTCTGGGAATCAAGTTGTGAAGATTTAGAAATGAGAGACAAACTCTTATGTTTGGAAAGCTTCTTAAATATAGGTAGCCGTTTCACGTGCATTATTTCAAAAACACTGGTTTGATCTTGTACTTGCATTTTAATTTTTACTGCATGCCTTTAGGCATTGTGTTTATGTATATACCAAGATCATAAATAAGGGGCTTTGAAAAATAAAGAAATCAAAGAGTAAATTTGATTTGATTTTATTATCAAAATTATCTTTTTATAACTAGATGCATATTTAGAATATATGCATAAAAAACAGGACCATGCAAACCTGCAAAATATCAAATCTAAATGAGTGATCAGTATAGCACCTACAGTATAAAAGGCTTAGCAGGACTTCCACATCTCACGTTTTCTGCATACCGTACATTTACTAAACATGGGATGCAGAAACCATCCTGTATGCCAAGAAATACAAAATTGCTTTTGGTGTTCATAACATGCTGAAGTATAATAATATTTTTCTGCGTAGTAAAGTGAAAAAAAGAGAAGAATTGCAAAACTTTGCGTATTTTTTAAGATGTATATCAAAATTTGCGTAGAGACATGATTTAAAGCACTACCGTCTGTAATTACCTGCTTTTGGCATGAGCCCAGTTCATATCACCCCTCACTTCTACAATACAGATAAACTGAACAAACAGATATTGATTAATCATTATCATAAAAATAATATTCAAGCTACTATCAATGTTTTTGCAATGGATTATGTTTACACACATGCTAATATTGTGACTTTTCCCATATACTTTTGATACAGAGAACAATTTCAACTAAGTGCTTGTAATGACATATTTCAACTTACGGTAGATTTGTGAACTCAAGAGAAATACTTAAAGCTCTGCTCACTGGTATGCTGATATTTTAACATAAAGACTTTTTCCATAACCTTGCTCATTACCAGATCCTGAATTCTTAACCTGTGTCTGCTTTGATCAATAATCAAAGATCAATGACAACAATTTGTGTGTCTAGACAGTCTAATCAGGTGTGTAGACAGAGACTATTTTTAAAATGTGTCATCTTGCTTAATCTCAGATGGCTCAGAGGGGAAAAATGGCAGATGAACTTCACTGGTCTCCATCCCCTTCCAAATATACAATGCCTGTCGATGCAATACTGCATTTTTTCACAGTACGAGAGTCACAGGGGAATGTATCGAAAGATCCTTTCAAGACCTAGAGGTGAGCATTATGCGGCAAACATGACTTTAGGGGCATTTTTCTTTCTGCTCCAACTATGTCCACTACGGCCACTCTTTGTCCTCTGATCACCTTCTGACCCATCGGCACTGGCCATCTGGGCAACGTCTATCCTTTCCAACATATACTCCTGTGAATAAAAGAACAATTTCCAAAACTGACCATAGAGATAGTGATATCCTCATTGAGTCTACTACATAATTTTGTGTTATGAAATATTTAGGGAATTTAATAATTTGACATGAAGTATAAATTCATTCTCAATCATTTTGAACAAAATTGTCTGCCCCATATTTGAAATATTTATATCCGTAAGTAAATGAAAATCATTTGTTTCTAGAAGTATGGTCCTTAAAAATAAAAAAAGCATTCTCCCATAATAACAATCCCTTTTGTGATGTACAATATTCCTTACCTGGATTCTGTCTAGTTTTTCATCCAACATAATCCTTTCCACTGGAATGTCGGTTTCTTTGGTGCACTTGTTAGCTATGTTATTTATGGCCATCAGTATTTGTCCCAACTCAGATCGCTGAAAAATGTATCACTCAATTTAATTTGTTATGCAGCCCTTTTATAAGTTCAGTGCCCCAAAAGATTCCACAACACTGCATATCAATTAGCATTTGAATTTCTTTATGAACTCTATAATTCTGTAAAGGGAAACTAACATATTTCTTCTAAAGCATTTATGCACCACTTTTCATTCACAGCAAAGAATTACCAAAAGTGATTTACTGTGAAGAATACATAAAGAAGATGCATATTTTTCTCATGCTTACCTGTTCCCTAAAGTCTCCTTTTCCCAAGATATAAGATTCCTCCAACTGTTTATTGCCATCCACCCGACCTTCTTGATGCTTTTGCATTTTAGACAATTCACTGTTTATAGAGAGCTTCATTTTATCATGCTCTTGCTTCAGTTGATCAAGGTGGTTTCTTAATTTTTCCAGCTGAAACAACAGAGGTCATTACTTTCAATAAATACTGTTCATTATTAATAATAGTTGCTGATGAAATATAATCTTCACATACCAAGTTTCTCCACCTCCTTCTACATCCAGAAATGTAAAAATAGTTCACAATTATCTATCCTGACAGCTAATTAATAAACTCACCTCATCTGCTTTTTCTGAGACACCCTCAACAAGATCTTTATTGGTTTCATTCAAGGTTCTGTGTCTCATCATGAGACTGTTCACCATATTGTCTTGCATTTCAATATAATCTAAGAAACAGAAATTAGCCATAAGCATCTTGAAAAATAATGGTGAAATATGTTTACAAGGAATATATATCTGATAATTATTTTTAATAATTTTTTAAGTGGCATTTATCTTTAATCAGTACAAAGTCAATTCAGTGAAATGTACTAGAAAAAGAAGTAGAATGTTTACAATAGCATACACTCCCAAGTATTCAGTGGCTGTGTGTTTGACTTTTTCATTGTGATCATCTTCTTTCCTTCTTTACTTACTTTCAGGCATGGCATCCACAACTCTCAATAAATACTGTTCAAATTTCTTTGTTTGGCTTATTTTTTCTCTAAATATTTGTGCCTGAAACATACAAATGCATGGCTTTCATTCACTCAATCAGTCATTTCTTCAAAAATGCATGCATTTCTTTTGAGGAAGATGCCATTCTCTGATATGAAAAGATAAATATAATGGAAGATTTGCCAATCAAATATAATGTGCCTACCTTTGCTTAAGGTCTTCAAGTTGTTCCTGAAGCATTTCTAGCTCTCGTGTTCTCTGTTCCCTGAGCTTAACTTCATTCTGATATTTCTGAATTGCTCTCCTTCTTTTTGCTTCGTTTTCTTTAATAAATTTTTCATATTGGGAGACCTTTTCTTTCATCTGCAAGGGAAAAAAAGAATATGAATGTACACAGGTAACATATGGACTGTAGAACAAGACACAATGTAAACTTGTTGAAAATGATACTTTTTGATTCTATGATAACAAGTTTGTTGGTGATCTTACTAACAGTAATTTATTTCTTTGTAAGCATCCTGGAAAGTAATGAAGGCTTACAAAACAAATAGCAAAAATATTGAGATTTTTTTGTTATCTTCTTTTTGTTGAATAGTACATGATTTGTGCTTTTGTGAAATATAGGAGGGGGTATAATAAAATTTCCAATACAGGAAATTATCAAATCTGTGAGTTCATTGGTCAGACATATTGAATTACCACTCCACTGAGTTGAGATGATTAAAAGCAAGCTCTGAATGAACCTTACCTGCTGTTGTTTCTTTTGCACTTTGATTTGTCTTTCTGAACATGCTTGCATTCGTTCTTTAAACTCAGCACGTTTTGACAGAAGTTCTAAATGAACCTTGTCCACTTCAACCTCTTTTTTGAGAAGCAAAGTCTTTTGAAGAGTATTAATGCCAGTCTCAATAAGTTTGTCTGCAGATTCTTTGACAATGGGATATGCAGTGACATCTTCCTCGTCATAATCCCTGAAAATGAATAAAAAAAAGACATTAATTTTTTTGCACGAAAAATATACCTGTTAAAATAAAGAAAATGAGATATGACTTCACATTAAAAACTTAATTATTGTCATATTATATAAAGGTTTCACCTAAAATGTATAGTTTAATGCTAAACTGAATATGATAAACTGAAGTCTGAACCACGAGTACTGGTAGAATTAATAATTGGCAGTTTCTGTTTGTTCACTGCAGTTTTCCTTAGGTTAAAAAGAGATTTCAGACTACAATTTCTTTTGAAAGACACGCTATCGATTTAAATACCCACTCTGCAAACTCATTAGGGCAGATTTTCAACAATAGTAATCGATATTCAAGAACTCATTCACTGTGATTCAACTTTTCTAACCAACTGAACTGAAGACATTAACAGATTTTCCTACCTGTCTTGGAGCTGAGTGACGAAAACATTTTTCTTCTGATCCCCTAAATCTAATTTAAAAGTTCCAGCAGCCATTTTGGTGTCTTATAACTCCATGTATAAATAAGGTGCCACAGATCGTGTAATCCTTCTACAATCCAATATGGTAGTAGGTCATAACAACTTTATTCAAATGAGCAAGCACCTTGGAGACTGTGTCATGTGACCAGTCATGTGCTCTTTTTACATCATACAAAGAATATTACACCGAGGAACATGAAGGTAGGTGTAAACAGTTATTAAGCAAAGTTTGGTTAATTTTAACGCTAATATTTAGATTTAACCATTTTGCATTTAACTTTATTTTTTTGACTTTGTATTAGACAACAGTGATGTGAGTTAAACAAATGTAAACAGAAAATAATTAAATGTTTGTTGCAGTATTCTAGACTTGTTTGTTACATCGCCTTGGCATCTGAACTCATATTTCTTTCCACATACTTGTTAGATATGTATCTAAAAGGTTAAAATGAGGATAAATCTTTTACTTAACATTAAAAAAGTAAATTTCTTTAATATAAAAAATGTCATCGGTGATTTGCGTTGATAAAAACTTTTTTATTTTCACTTAACTTTCATTAAAAAAGCCACCCATGTTGTCAGTTACATGTACAGTGTATCAATCCATACAGAATTTAGGTGTTATGAATTGTAATATGTGCTTTTTTTTATTTATTTTCTATTTTTTCTTCATTTTTTAGATTTAAAATATTGAAGATATTAATATTTGTTTATTCCTTTATTTCGAAAAAAATAAAGCATTTTAGTAACTTAGATGCATTTACCCTAGTGAGTTGGATCAACCTTAGTAAATGGTTATCAGTGCTAGGCCAAAGATCAGTTAATATCAAGATGTTCCCACTAAGAGATAAGCTATTGTTTAGGTGATAACAAACCAGTGCAATGGCCAAGAAATTGATATTACCAGTTAAATTAAACTTCTGAAATAATTAAGTAATCAGTGGAACTGTCACCTACTGAAATTACTTGATAATCCTTGTTGTTGATCGTTTGTTCTATGATGATTTTAAAAAGCCAATATAAGTAATGAAACAAGATAAATGATTACAGATCATGTTTTATCATTTTCAAGTGTGCCTTGTTATTTAAGTCTGTTACAGTTTTCCTAGCTGCAGTGCTTGTGCTGGAGGCAACTGCACTGCCGACAGTCCTGCGTTTTAGCCAAGAGAGAGCTGTACTCAAGCCTCAGTTGGTAAGGCTCCACCAAGTCCCTATAGTCAAGGACAAGGTGGGAGTGGACCTGTGCCCAACCTGTGTTGACTTTACAACACAAGCTATCAATGCCTTGTTGGAGATCATCTTAAGTATGTATTAGGGGTTCATAGATCAAAACAAGGTTCAAGTTAGGAATATTGTCACAGAGAACAATCACCGTTTTTTATAGTGTTTAATTAAAAAAAAAAAATGAAATGTGGTATTTGTATGTTTCAAAAAACCAAAAATTAAAGAGAACATTTTTGTCAAATTCAGCATTGTATTGGCATGTCTGAGATAATTTCACAATATCTCCACAAATGAACTGTGAAATTCATGTGGCTTATTTGGTTTATTAATTTCCATTAAAAAAAGAGACTGGATCCATTCAGGATAGGATCAGATAGAATGGGGCATGTTAAATACTATACATATATATATGTGTGTGTGTGCTAGTTTTGCCAGTACATTAATATTAGGTACCAAACCACAAACATGTGAATAGCCAGTCTTTGTTCTGTTATGTTACAGATGGAGGGGTACTGACCGCCTGCTCTGACCTCTGTGGTGCTTTGGCAAACAAGACTGGCAGCCAAGCAGTTGGTGCTATCTGCGATGTCCTTTGTAGTATAGTAGGAGTTGAAGAGTTCATCCAACTTATACAAGAGTAATACATTTCCCTTATTTGTTTCAGTTAGATTAGCTTTTTCATTGATTAATCAAATCTGGCATTGAATAACTTTGCATGTCATACCTTCCTGCCTCTGTTTTCAAAATGAAATACAATTAATGTTGAAATGTCTTCAAGGTAAAAAAAAAAAATCATTATTTTATTAAATTTTAGTGCAGATCTTGATCCCATTTACTTCTGTGAGTTGATCACTGTGTGTCCAGTCTTTGATTCAGGAGATGCCAATATCACAGCACTGACCGTCAAGCCTCCACAAGGCCCTCAAGGTAAAACATTGGCCTGACCTTTTCAGGTACCAGGGTTCAGTTTAATTCATTGTGTAATACCCTCCCTCCCACACACATTTTTAGAGAAAGTTTTGTTTTTTGGGGGGAAATTGCTTTCTTCCTAAAATGAAGAGAATCAAATTTAATATGTCATGTTGCATGTTTATTCATCCTGAGTTTTAGAGTCTACAAGGATGAGAGGGATAAATTTACCATCAGAGGAATAAAGTTCAAGATGATTAAATTTGAAAACATAATAGTGACAAAACTTTCACATTATGATTCAAGGTCCTCCAAATAAAAAAAATCTTACCTTGCATTTATTGGTACAAACCAACAGGTTTGATATTACAAAATATATAATGATAAGCTAACTACTATTGTATAAATGTTATAAATTTCCCTTGGTATAGGTACATCCTTTATTGTGGATATCGAATACACAAGCAAAAATGGTACCGGAACTGGAGAACTTGTTATAGAACTTGATACTGTTGATGGTATTCCAGTAGGTGAGTAGCATTCAGTCATGAAGAATTTATTCTAAAAATCATTTCATATGATTATGCTCTAATGAGTCACAGACGATTTTCAGAGTATGATGTCAAAACTAATGGTATATCTGCTTTTCATTGCCATTTTCCAAGGCTGAGAGATATCACAATGATTAAACTCAGGGCACTCATTTCACATAATGGACCCCCCCCCCAAAAAAAAAAAAAAAAAAAATTTTTTTTGAATATTCAGTATTGAGAGAAAAAAATAAAAATCAGTTAAGATACTTTTAACATGTCATAAGTCCTCATGTAAATGGAAAAAAAATTCTTTTTATAGCTTCAGCCTTTCTCCAGCAAAAACAACCCCCAGGCACATATGGCAGTAAAATAACAATCCATGCAAAGCCAGACCCTGACTGCGATCCTACACAAGGGCCCTGTGAAATGTGGCTGCCTGGAACCTACATTGTCAAGATTGGTGAGCTAGTATAATATTGCTATCATAACATATATTATTATTATAATAAGTAAGTTCTATTCTGACAGGAATATATTCTTTTTGTTGATTGCTGCAAATAAAGTCCCCAGGTAGAAGAAGATTACAACATGGAAATTCCAATGTTGAAGACTTAGACCAATTTCCACGGAATTAACTGAATTTCATTAAGTGACAGTAATTCTAATTAAAGTCATAATCATAATAACAAACTTTTAAATATTAAATGCCAGTGCATATTTTCAAATAATTTCATGTACAAACTAAGACAAAAGCAATGGTCAGTGATATCTATGGTTATCTCTGGTGATTTGATTTTCAGCACTTTGCAATGGTGAATGTGGCAGCTTGCATCCTCATAGTCAAATCTATGATACAGGATCAACCAACTTCACCATCACCGGCTAAAGGTTATCTGCATCCAGATGCAAGAAATCTTTGCTAGAAGATGCAAACAGCATATGAATTGTGTTCATCTGATGAAGAAAAATGCACTTTTGACATTTAAAAAAGAAAAAAAAATGTGCATGACATTCTTTATAAGCACATATGTTATTAAACATAACAAAGAGTGAATCTATCCCAAAAATACCAATCACAATAAATAAAAGTTTCATTATTTTCAGTTCATGGCATGATATTGCAAAACCAGGAATTTAGTACCACACCATAATATACCTTACTTAATATTAAAAGATATTATGCATAAAATAATTACTGACTTAGTTCATGGTAAAATTTCCCTAGTCACAACCTTTCCTTAATTTAGTACTGTATCTTGTATGAGAATCAGAACAGTCACTTAACTTATTTTAAAACATTTCAAATGTGTAAGTCTGAATTTGTGACAGACAAATTATTTAGAGGTTATTCGGAATGTGGATGCAATGCTTTATCTTAAGCACTTCATACTTTCTACATCTCCTTACAACAATCTTACACATTAGTTGAAATATTTTGGATGTACTTCACTGGAAATGTTTTTCTGACAGTGCATATCATAATTATGATGATTAAACCCATATTTTATCAGCACCTTGCTCTGAAATAGTTATATTTTTTTTCAGCAAATGTTCTTTCCAATATGTCCAGAACTTCTCTCTGGTGCACTTGTCCAATGCCAACTGCAGGTGCTGCCAGCGGTCCACGACCCACATATGCCAGCTGATTGAAAAAGAAATAATAGCATTATTCAAGAGGAATATTGAAACATTAAATAAGAATCTAAATCTTGCAAGTAGCTACCCTATAAAATTTATTGACTGTATATGTATTTCTCTGATGTTCAATGAGTACTGTGATTCTCTAAACACAAGCTACTTGTTCAAATTTCACAATTTATACTGCACAAGTCATTTACATTATCCATTCTCAGTTCATTGTTTCATAAATCATTTGTTATTTTACAATTTCAGTTAAAAGTACAATACAGCAGTCATCTTAAAACAGTTTATAGCCAGTTTCTGCACACTATTTAAGAAACAAAATTAGTTTTTCTTTTTACCTTGCAGCCAACAACTTTCTCAAATCTTGGGGCTATAAAGGACCAAGCTCCTGAATTTTGGTGTTCCTCCTGACTCCAAATGAATTCTAAAACATCCAGAGTATACAGTTTGCATTTGATAATCATAAAATTAATATCATTATTCTGGAACTTCATGATTTGAGAACTGGCAAAAAGCAGTGGATTTTGCAGATTTTTAGATATTATCTGCCATATAAATCATATGTAATAGCTTGTAATTTCAACCTACCTGTAGCACTTTTGTATTTGTTCAATTCTTGCATAAGAGATTTTGCTGGGAATGGACAGAGACACTGTTGAAATAAAAAATAGTTTTGAAATTTGTGAAATGTCCACAGCTTTTAATATTATAAATTTTGAAGTGCTCAAGATTTACCTGACACCTGCTCCCCTGTCAACAAAGTATATAAGACAAAATAAATTAAGAAATTAATGTATACGTAATTATTAGGCTGTGAACATCTATGTACCCTGATAAATAATATTTACCAATTTTCATAAACCAGACTTCATCTGAACCAACCTTTCCTTTGAACAAAAACTTTCCTTTCCTTATGGAAAATCAGTTTAAAGTTCCATTATCTATTAGTATGAACCATGCAAACCTCAAGTCTGATAAGTGCAGTATCTTTAGCTCCAACTGTTTCCCTCTGTTTATGCAAGGCATAGTAGTGCTGCCCAGAACAGAACACTACCCTCTTGACAGCATTGCCATCTATTTCATTGTCTCCCAGTACTGGACAGAATGTCTTGCCTGGTGCCAGATCCAACATACTTGACGTAGCTGCAGGAAGCCGCAATATCATCTTAGGAGAGGCCACAATAAGAGGTTTTCTGAAATTCCGCACCATCTACAAGGCAAAGCGACAAGACAATATTCAAATCACTTTTAAATATGTTAATAAATCCTTAAAAGTACATTAATTAATACAGTATATAATATAATAATTAGCAAATAATAGTGCCTAAAAAGAGACTGACAGCAGAGCATTATGTCATACAAGATTAGAATCAAAACTGATCTTAAAGGAACCTACCTGCCTCCTGAGGAGATGAAAATACTGGGCAGGTGTTGAGGGATTTACAATATGCCAGTTGACATCATCCCCATCAAAACCATCTTCTTTGCTATCACATTGCTGATCAAAATATGAAGATTTTGGTTTGTCATTTGTATTTTAACCCTTCAAAGTAACTGGAGGGGGGTGGGTATGTCAAAAATAATGGATGTCTTCTGCACCTTTAGGAAACTTTCCTTTGAGGTAGCCAAACTGTGCAAACTCAAATTGAAAGAAAGAGGAGAAGAAAAAAAGAAAGAAAAACATTTATCATGAAATCTCTTTTCAGAGAGTTTGCTGACAGCTTTCACAAACTTTAACCCACCATATATATAAAAAGATTCCAAATATTTGGCTCTCTACATAGATGTTAAGGTACCAACCAGTAAGAATCTTTCAATTCTACATGAAGAATGCTCAGGGCCTTCACCATCCATACCATGGGGTAGCAACATCACCAAGCCACTCTGTAGGAGCCATTTGGCTGATATGAAATAAAATAAAAAAGTTTCCAGTCTGTAGTAATAAAAGTTATTTTATAAACACTTGATTGGAATGGACTAGGCATGTTAATGCAGTTCCTGAAAAAAGGACTTCATCTAACTCTTTCAAAAATTAAATATTTGGAGTCTATCCTAACGTATTAACCTTCAATTTGTGAACACATACTTACTTTCACCGGAGGCAATGTACGTATCAATTATAACTTGAGCTCCATTGAAGAAATCTCCAAACTGTGCCTCCCAAATGACTAAAGATGTGGGATTTTCTGTACTCATTCCATATTCAAAGCCAAGAGCTGCAAGTTCTGTAAGAGCACTGTTGCAGACCTGTGAGCAAAACAACCATTTTCATTCTTGTAAAGTTTATATTTTAAGATGGATTATTTTGCAGTGTTTAAGAATGTTTGTAACATTCTCAATATGACAAAAATGGCCAATATATTGTCAAAATTTAAATTAAGTATAATTTTTATAAAATTATTCAAAATAATATTTAAATAATTATATAAATCAACTGAAAATTTGATTCAGTCTGTACCTTATCAAATTTAAAGTCTACAGTATTTCAAACCTCTAGAAACCCCTTTTGATGATCCGTCATGTGGTTCAGAGGAATAACAATCCCATCGTGTGATTGGTCGACCAGCATCATGTGACGATGGCTGAAAGTGCCCCTCCCAACATCTTGCCCACAAAATCTCACATTGTAACCTGTTACACAAATCATTATTTGGTAAAAAAAACATTCAAGGAGAAATAATTTTTAAAAGACAAAGGTATTTTGTAGCTGTTCTTTTTTTCTTTTTTCTTCAGAGCATTCAAAACAAAACATTTATCAGAAGCTTCCACAGATATCTTAATCTATTTTCCTAAGCAAACTATCATATTACTGTATTATGATCATATAATATAAATTTAAATGCTGAAACAACTGATAATATTCCACATTCTCCATCAAGTTGCCTTCACTTTAGATTAGTACACAATGAGAATGTGAAATACTGCTCATACTTCCTACTTACCTTGCCAAAGTAAAGAGCCTATGGCCAAGGCTTCAGCAGTTGCCCAGTCCAAATTAGACCCATCCTCTAACTGCTGAACACGCTTGTCAATGTGATGCTTAGAAAGCGTATTATGAACTGCCTGTAAAAATCAAATGCTCCTTTGCAAAATTTCAGATCTTGCCCCAGGTGTTACCAATACAACCAAACATTAAATACAGGAAGGGAAATTAGCAGAATTTTAAAATCTCTAATTATAACAAAAATATTAGAATTCAAAATCACAAATATTACCTTCTATTAATATATGGAAAACAAGATGTTATTCTTGAACAGAATTATTCTCTAGTAAGTGGTTAGCGTAAAACCAATACAGTATCATGGGGTGTAGCAATGAAACCTCACCACATCATCCTGTACTGCCACAGACTTAGCACCAATATACTTCAGGAGATCAGTGGGCACCCCAGTGTCCCATGTTGTTTGACTGGCAGGTGCTTGGACATAACCTGACCAGTTCTTCTCCAAGTGATACGCCTAAAGAGAGAGCAAACAAAACTTACAAAGAATGTCAGCTTCCTTCCAATACCTCTCTCTCTCTCTTTCTCTGAAATTAGTTTAGATGTTGTAAACCGTTAACAATTTGCAAAAAATGTTCAGAATCAAACTTCATTAAGATGCTCTATTTATCATGGAAAAAGTGACACTATACACCCTTGCCTTGGGAATGTGAGTATCAATATTGGTCATTTCATCATTGAGTTCTTTATTCCAACTGGCTACTGCTAAGTCCAACTCCTCCTTAGAACAAAGACCTGCTTCCTGAAAGAGTTTCAATGCAAGATAAAATAAAGGCACTGGAAATTGATTAGACCTATTTTTAATGAAATGACTATTACATGCACTCTGATGGTACACCCTCTATCATCTTAAAATGAACATTTTGCTAATATATCAGAAGCATGACAAAATGCTTTTAGACTCTACAATATGGGTAAATACTCAATACAAAAACAGATTTCAGGGCAAAAAAAAAAAAATTAAAAAGACCAATTAAACTGCATAAGCTTATATGTTATGATTTTAGTCACTTCCTAATATTTAAATTTACTTACTACAATATTTGTTGCATAGAGATCTGGTATGTTAGCTCTGTTCTTGATGATTTCATACATAAGTGGCTGGGTAAAAGACGGGTCATCTAACTCATTATGCCCCCATTTTCTAAAACAGATGAGGTCTATCACAATGTCTTTTCTAAATTTCTGTCTGTATTCCATGGCAAGCTGGGTAGCTCTAATTACTTCCTAAAATGGAAATTACAAATAGACAGCAATGCTGACAGATAAACAGTTCAAAGTTTAAACATATATATCTATTTGTGTCTGTTCATAACATGGGTTAATAAAATCTCTTGTTTGCAAAAGGGAGACACAATAATGGTTATCAAAAGCTTGATTTTTAGAACAATGTCTTTATATGTAAATTTACATTTATGTGAAATAGAAATATTCTCAATTACCTATATTTTTATGTTCTTCACATATCTAATGTATGTGCTAATAAAATTATCCTAAAATAGGTGTGGAATAAAAACATTGTACACATGTCAGCATTTTCATCAAAATAGTATTTTTTTATGGCTATACCTCAGGGTAATCTCCATTTACATGTATCACTGGACAAGCATTCATTTTTGCCACATCACTGCAATACAGAGATGATCTGAAACAAAATAGAGAGCAGTGATTGCACAATTTTCATCATTCGATTTAGAAACAAAATACCCTTACTTTTATTGATATACTAAAATCATTCTGAACCATACCTTCCCCTCTCAGATGGTGTAGTGAATCCCAGCTGGTTGTTAATTATGAGGTGCACACTTCCTCCCACAGTGAAATGTGGAGTGTTGGCAATGGCAAAGGTTTCTGCAACCACACCCTGAAATATGGATTTCAACATCAGTCAGGCTTTTTGTAGGTACATACTTCTGTTTTCCCTTCCAAAAAGCAAATTGTCAAATACTTTGTTTTCCCATTGTAAATCAACAAAACCACAATGCTTACTTATTTTCAAATATAAATCTGAGAATGAGAATAAAAACCAAACATGTCAGTATATAGTCTGTATATAAATAGTACGAAGAAATCTGCCTCATTACAAAAAATATATTTATCAAAATGTATATTGAATAAAAAAATGCCACACCTGTGCAGAGAATGCTGCATCTCCATGGACTTGTAGACACAGCACCTTATCCCCCATCACAGCAGCTGGGTCATCAGAGTAATCTCCATCTTTAAGTGTCTGTTGTCTTCCTCTGGCTTTACCAACAGCTACTGGCTTGCTGGCCTATGCAAACATGAGCATACTTTTAATAAATCATATTGCTTACAGCTATTGCAACATGAACCTTTCTTCCCCATGTCAAAATTTGAACCAATAATGTACGTGTCATCCTCCATATTCAACCTGCCCCAATAAATCATGCTATTTATTAAGATCGATATTCCATGGAAGCTAACCGAGCAGCAGGTCAAATTACAAGCTAAATAATTGTTTGAAGACACCTTATCTACTGACCTCCAGATGAGATGGATTTGGAACCATTGTGACACAGATCTTCTTTTCACCATAATTTAATTCTACTGAAGAAGCTGGAACTGGAATATTTTTCAAAAAAGTAGCATTTAAAAATAGATATTAGTCCATGAGGATTTAAGAGTTAAATACATGCATATCATTGTAATGATCTTTAGTACTTATCAATGCTATTTTTTCTTGAATAAAATCTCCATTTGCTGGAGACTAACTTGCTAAATTACATAAATATTTGTTATTTTCAGTAAACCTGAATATTAAAAATCTCAATTCTAATGTATAAATTTATATAATCAAATTTTGTTTTAATAGTCTTAAGGTTATTGTAACCCTTTATTATCATCCAGATACGGAAAATGAATTTTTCCTGCATCTAATTATTCAATAATGCAGCTATCTTTGTGCTGATTTTAAACAATGAAAAACCCTCAAAAAAAAAAAAAAATTGGCATGTAATTTTTTTTTCGTTGCAATATATAAGCATAGGCAACTTAAAGCTTTCGTCAATTTAACACCTTTCTATTTTGGGATGAGCATGCAATCGGGATGGGTTGTAACATCATCACTGAACAAGATTTCATCATGAAAATTAGCAGAGTTGACCAGGAGAGTATAAGCTACAATCCTGTGCCATCATTTTGGTTTAAATGCTTTTGTTATGCAGTTATGATCCCCTAATTACAGATTTTCATTAAACAAAGACATTATTTTGATTTATCAAAGATAAAATCTGAACTTTTAAGAAAAATCCCTAGAGTACTAAATGGTGTCATTAAATCAATGTTGAAATTGTGATTTTGGGTGCTCAGGTAAAAGAGAAATCTGAGAAATTTATTTTTTATTTTTTACCCCAAAATCGCAATTGTGATGTCACCCGAAAGATGACATATTTTATTTAATTTACATAATTTAATCAATTTAGTCACTGCATGATCACTGAAGATTTATTTATTACCCAAAAGAATGTATGTAAGGCAGTAAATAAGGAGTTTTGGGCAAAGGGTGACAATATCCTTAAGAGCACAAACAAGAATAACTTTTCACCCTGCTCTGTTTCACTTACTTAGATTATGTAATACTTCCCCACTGCCTTTCACACGAGGAGGAAATTCACTGATGCCTTTCATCTACAAAGGAAAGCTGGCAAGGTCAGTGTAAGAGTTGCCAAGACAGTAAAGTTCAGCCAAATGATTGTAATATCTATTTTTTATTCATTATGCAAGAGTCCAAAGTTTACTTCTTTCACAGATCATAATCACTACTACCTTGGATCCATAATAAAATAAAATGAAGCAAAGTTATTACAACTACATTCTAAAGAGCAGAATATTTCATAAGAAAAAATACCTTCTGAAACATCTGCACTGGTGGAAATTTGAGCATGCATGTCAGCAAGTTGAGTCTTCCTCTGTGAGGCATAGAAATTATAACATCCTGAATATTAACTGTAAAGCAAAAAGTAGGATATATATATATATATATATATATATATATATATATATATATATATATATATTGAAAATCAGTTTATATAAATAGTGAACCACCAGGTGAACTTCAGCATGAGTGTACATCTCTAAAACTTGCACTAAACTACATGTAATAGGGCAATTACCAATTTTCAAGGTTTTTATTTTTCAACATCAAATATTAGTATTACAAGTCTATACTAACACTCAGCAGATCTTTCAAATATTTCTTGAAAAAATCCCATCATGCTCTCTGCTCCTTCACCTCCATACCGCTTCACAGTGGAAAATTCAGTATGAAGAAAGTGATCAAAAGCCTAAAAAATGAAAAACATATTTCATATGACAGTATTTCTTTTAGCCTTTTGATAAAAAATTATAAAGATCAGATCCACAAATACATGACTCTGATTAAAAGGATTTAAGTGATATATTTTATTACTTATTTTATATCACCATATTATTGAATTTTTTGGAAGATTAAAACAGAAATAACAGCTGTTGCATTGAAATGCAACTTTGAAACTATCCTAATACATGTGCCATTTGATAACATTCATTGTCCGGCTAAATAAAAAAACTAATGTACATGTACCTTTTCAAATGTTTGATTTAAGATGGCTTTTAATTGAATCATATATTCTTTTTACATAATATTGCTTCAACTAATATAAATGATTTTATGAAATAAGAAGTAAACAAAATTCATGCCAGTTTTTTTTTTTTCATTTTTTCATTTCCATAGTCTTCAACTTATCAATGCCAATTTAACCACTAAAAAAAGCAAAGGTACCTGACACTTAAGCATAAGTTTTGCTAATGCAATCTTTTTATCCTTCGAAATTTCTTCAAATTGGCTTTCTTCCCATCTTTTGGCAAACCAGTTCCTCTCTTCCAGTGACTGTAATATTAGGTATGAGATTTATTGAAAACGATTGAATGACAGATTTTAACAACATAAATCATACTTAATAAATGGAATATTTTAATAATCTTGAATTTCTAATTATGATAATGCACATTTTGTAAATTTCAATCCCAGTAGCTTATCAAAATATTTAACTAAAAAAAAAGAGGAAGGAAGACCGAAAAAAACTTTAATTAAAAAATGGCATAAAATCTTTAAAAGAACAAAAACAAAAAAATTATCACATTGTTGACAATAATTATAAAGACATCTAATGTACTTACAGGCAAATGTTCAAATTCCACTGCACTGTTTCCACAGTAAGTTTGTTCCAAGAACTGCAAGACCTCTTCAGTGGTGGCAGACTCTGATCCACTGTGCAGGATGCCATAAAGATTGTGAGCAGTGTACTGAGCCTCACCTAACCCATAGTAGACAGGATCCAATTCTGCACATTCCCTTTTTACAATAAATGAAATAAATCACCCACATTTAAATATATTTGATCTTTAAAAAATTAGTAGGTATAACATGTTAACTTAATTATGGTCCTTTATTTCAGGCATGGTTTACTAAATGTTGCTTTCACACTACAAACAACCAATTAAGGAACTAAAAGGCAGGATGTGAAGTTGTGTAAACTTGACATAAGGATTAAAACACTAGAACTGTAGCATACCATATACCATACCATATAGCACAAACTATAGTGCCTCTTCAAGTGTACCATTAGAGACTGCATCGATATTCATTATATAAAGATTACTTTTTTATTCACAAACAGGCAACACAATTACCAACTAGAGATATGGTAATGCACCAATTGCATTGTATCATCATCAGTATATTATATTGTACAAGGTCATGACAACATGTACCAGTACAGAAATAAATTGAATTGAATACTGAATTGATAAAGTGCTAGGATATCACTTGCTGTGTTAAGAGGCTTTGTTCCCAAAAGTACTTACTGTGGTTTTAGTCTCCCTAGGGGATCAAGGGCTGCCTTTCTGTGTCCATGTCTTCGATATGCTGTCACCAATCTCAGTAAATTGCTGTTTTCTATCTGATTTTGAATCAAAATGGGGTCTTCGGATGTCAAAAAATAAAATTTGGAAGAAAAACATAAGTTTATTATACTTTTATATATGACAATATGAAGACACTAAGGGAATAATCTAAGATACTGGAAAATAAACAGTTGCATCAGGGCAGAATTGAAATTGCGGTGTACCTAAACGCCGTCCACAACCGCCCACAAGCGTCTTCCGTTATGAAATAGCTGGAAAATCAGCTGACAGAAATTTAACATAAGATCTTGCTTTACTGAACAAAAAAAACGTAGAGGGCCCAGAAAGAGGTCATAGACGCGGACCTGTGGACGTTTCCAAACCAGACCCGGATGTCACCTTTGTTGCATTGACAACCACGTAAAACGATGTTTACTATTGTATACTAGTCTTCCAAAATGCAAAAAAAGGGGAAAACGCTCATATGTATATTATTTATACAGTAATAAACATCGTTACAGCTAGGTTGCCTTTAGATTCAACAAACGTTCAAGGTGACAGCCGAACGTGCGGAGAACGGGCTCTATATACGGATAAAAGCTACATTAGGGCACTAAATACTGTTATTTCAATCAGAATCAAAGTCAGATGTAGAATAAAACAACTTACGCCCGACAGTGCATAGCAATATTATCTGTCGGTGTTATTTTTCTTTCAAAGTCTCGTTAATCAGCCATTACACGAAAAAGGCACAATTCCGAATAGGTTCTAATATTTCGGTAGTCTGCAGGACGCCATGTATTACACATAAAAAACAACACGGGAACCCCCCCCCCCCCAAACATAAATAATGATTTTATTCTGCTAATATATGTGTGTGTGGGTGTGTCTGTACAAAATATGTCTCAGAATTTTCCATACTGACCACATAATTAAAAATAAATAAAATATGATAATAACAAAACCCTGAATTTTGAAGTATTCTTTCCGATAAACAGTACAGCCATACCCGATCGTCACAAGTTTTCCTGAAACGTAAATATGACATACAAGCAGTGAGAAAATAAAAGCAATACGTCTACATAAAGCCTGGGTCCCAACTACATGTACACGCGGGTTCCTCTCGTTTTTAAGGTTCCTCTCGTCTGGCTGTGCCGTAGCTAGATCGCAGGGAAGGAATCCAGTAATTGGTGATTGCAGTGAGTGCGCAAGAAGAAAGTGCGTGGAAAGTACGTGAGCTGACGGGCTTTCGCACGTGTCCCGCGCGCACCGTGCATGCAAAGTACAAGCATCGTGCACTACGTACCTTGTGCATACAAGGAGTACGGGCATCGGAAGTGGAATTAGGGCAGTCTTTCTGACTTCCTACGGTTGTTGCTCGTCCTTTGCACGCAAGTCTTGCGTGTATGTTGAAACGTTTTTTGGAAGGGTATAAAAACAGTGCAGTTATTATATCCGCAGCAGTGTTCAAAGATGGTGAGCCCAATCATACCTGGCTTGCCCCCTCTACCCCTCTTGCTCTTTGTTGTCTTTTTAGGCATTTTTAAAACTTGACATCAAAAGCACAAATAATTTGCTTTTTTCGTTCATGCCCCTCCTTTTAAACTCACGTTCCTTTCGCATGAAGTGACCACCATTCGCTCAACATGCACGAAGCCCGTGAGGTCCACACGGTGGGCGCGCGGAAGTGTGGCGTGAGCACGTAGTGAGCAAGAAATAAGTACGTGTATCGAGCGCCTTCACCACGTGCATCGCACGCACCGTAGCCACCCAAGCGCGACGGACGAACGTGTTTCCATTTTTTTTTTTTTTTTTTTTTTTTGAGAATTCGTATACCGCACGCAGCGGCTACACGATCATGTCGAAAAATTTCAACGTGCTGTCTGCGACCTCCAAATGTTGCACGATGGACGTGCTCCTCACGCACGAAATCCCACGTTTTCACCCAATTTTTTGGCCGTAGACCAGGGCTCCGTACCTCGAAAGCTTCGCTATGTTGCGCACGGGCGCGAGCATGGCGATTCCGCGCTATTTGCGAGTGCGATTGCACCCACCTGCTATCTCGAAGCCTTAGCAAACGCAACGCAGTTATAACCTCAAACTCTACTAAAATTCGATTGCCGCATAAAGTGAAGACGTCATACGTGTCACACAATTACACGAAATGCAATATTTTTTCACCATGACGCAAATGAAGAGGTTGTTTTTATTTATAGGAATGTCATAATTACAAATACTGATATTAGAAGTGTTTGACACCAATAAAATGTCAAATAACAATTCAATAAGCGAAGCTTGGACTGACACAAATACTGACACATTGGTGAGTAGTGTTCAGTCTCACAATAACAGACATTGAGGAAGGTCACGGTGCGACCGAATGCTTTGTTTAGCTGCTTTTTCATTTTGTGTAGAAAATAACACTTTTAAATTTATGATTATTATCAACAGACTACACAGATGAATTATATTCATCAGAAAATATAAAATGATGTATGAAATATTTAATTTTGAATTTTTTATGCATAATAAAACATGACTTTAGCATTCTTCACGTGAACATTTACCGCAAGTTTTTCTATCAGAGGTACCGAGTGATTCAATCTATTATAAGCTTCCATGTTTTTTGTTATATGTTTTGTTATATGCTTTTATGACTAGCAACCCAAACTTGCCGCCACGTTTAATTACATGAAAGACACATTAAAATGACAAATTATGCATGCGCAGAGGCCATTGCGACTAGTTTGTATCACCGCAAATAATAGCCTCGAAACTAATGGTGATTTCGCCATTAGCGCACGGCCGCGATTTGCGAAGCTTTCGAGATATGGGATAGCGCACGCTCGCCATGCTTGCGCACGCTCGCCATAAGCGAAGCTTTCGAGATACGGGCCCCAGACGTCTACAGAGGCCCGCACGTTGGGTTGGGACCCAGGCCTAAGTACACAGTTGCAGAACACGCTGCGCTACTTATGCAGTCAAGCAGGCAAAATAAATACCTGTGCTCGAACCAAGCTCGTTGATTTCTTGTGTCTNTCGCCGCGGTCGTAGAAAGGTTATTATAAAACGAATATTTTGCGTTTTTTACAAAATGCAGTAATTGTCAGAACTTTTTGCAGAATGCGTCATCTGAAAACGGATTCAAACATTCTATGTTGTGTCAGTCATACTTTCTCGTTTTCGGCGCCTGTCCATCCTTCTTATAAAGATAACAATGAGCATCTGGGTGATTATCAGTCCATGCAAACCTTGCATCACTGTAGTTTAAAGCGTTTATTCCCATTTATTTGTTTTGTTTTCTGGAAATGTTCTTAATTGGATGACCTGGTTAGAACCGATGAAAAATACGAGTTAGAATATAGAGAAGGACGCCCAAACAACGCTCATCGGTCAAGCAGGATGCAGAATGATCGTAGAATAAACGCCACTGATCGCCGATGAAGGTACAGAGAACGCAGCAAGAATGCTCAATGGTCGCTCAAACATCGCAATGGACGCCTTGGGCTGCACAGGAGACGCACAGGGAAGGCAGGGCGGTCGCTCAGTAGATGCACAGGTCGCTCGCAGTTTTACATGTAAAATCAAGATTCGGTCGTTCAAAGGACGCACAGCGGACGCAGACGCCTTTACACTGAGACACGATTTAATTGCTTTGGCGACCGTTGAGCGTCCCGGCCACATTTTTGATCGCAGCAAGGACGCAGAGAGGACATTATTGGTGGAAATTCAGCGAGGGGGCATGTGAAAACAGAAAGTGAAATAACCCACTAGCTACCAGAAACGGCACGTGTAGTACTACCTTCAGGTACCACAGTAACAGACTTTCTCGTCAATCGATATTTATATACAGGAAAATAATGAATTTCGTTTACAACTAGCTAAGACTTCAAAAAACTTAACCACGTTCGCGATCTCGGCGGGCGTACCGTGTCACTGATGTTCCCGCAACCTGGTACCTCCCGTTTTTCTTCAGGCAGCGAGGATTTTAGGTTCACAGTGTTGTGCGAAAGACGTAATATCGAAACGTGTGACTTTATCTTTGGCTGTTCAACTGATATCCTTGACGTAATCAACTGTTAAAAGGAGAAAGCGTTGATTTTGTTCAGATATACTTAGCTGTTAAAGCTACTTAGCTAAATATCTTGCTCAAAACCACGTCGCGTACAATGCCTTCATCCCTCCAGTGCATCGGTGTCTAGCCGAGTCCAAGCACTTACCTGAGACTCTCAGAGTAATCCTCCTGGGAATGAAAGTAATCTAATACGTATTGTTGTTTTGGTTCATCGCCCTGTCCACCCTGGGTGCGGCATGAAAAAATGACGTGATGATAAACCACCAAGAGGTCAAGACCCCCGTCACCGCATCGACCGAAGAGACCTATCTGTAGGTAAAGACCAAAGAAAATGTATTTTTTTAACCCCGGTTAACCTGAACACACTGACCTTTTCATTCTCCAGACTATGTCACGAAGGGGAGATCACAGCATCATTAAAGAAATGAGGAAAAAAAGAAAAGGATAAAAGCGCTTATAACTGTTTAATAATNCCTGTCCAACCTGGGTGCGGCATGAAAAAATGACGTGATGATAAACCACCAAGAGGTCAAGACCCCCGTCACCGCATCGAGCGGAGAGACCTATCTGTAGGTAAAGACCAAAGAAAATGTATTTTTTTTAACCCCGGTTAACCTGAACACACTGACCTTTTCATTCTCCAGACTATGACACGAAGGGGAGATCACAGTATCATTAAAGAAATAAGGAAAAAAGAAAAGGATAAAAGCGCTGATAACTGTTTAATTACAATTTTCTTTGGTTGATTTAAGTTATCGGTTTGAGTGGATGACTTTCTGAGAGCAAGTGCAAAACACCTAACTACGTTGATCAATAGTTTTTACAATTAATATGCGGGTCTGTAGGGGATATGACGTCACACAAATATTCCTGGTTAACTGACCTGTGCATGACACCACGTGTTAATTAATGGGTCAGTTTGGGGCGCGCGGGGCATCTTACTATTTTTAGTCGGAGTACCAGGTTGAACTTTAAAATTACAGAAGCGCGTAATATGGAAGCCTTGCTTGACCAAGATAATTTATTAATCAGCGAGCGATCTACATTTCAATGCTGTTTTGAATATTAATATAAATTTCA